TATATATATATATATAATTTCCCTGGTAGAAAAATTTGAAATTATTCCACGTTTTGGAACACTTTTCGACAAAATTTTAGCATTTTACAAAAATTTCAGTTTGATTTTAGCGATTTTTAGCTGAAAAATTCAGTTTTATCAAAATTTCAACAAAAATTTCAGATATTTTAATAAAATTTCGGAGAAATTTCAACAAAATTTCAGAATAATTTCAGTTCGGTTTCAACGATTTTTTAGTATATTAGCTGAAAAATTCATTTTCAGTTCAACAATTTCGCTGAAATGTTCCAAAACGTGGAATAATTTCAGCGAAATTTTTTTACCAGGATTATACCTTTCAATAATCAATGCCAGCTAATGCTCGCTAACTAAGGCCTGTTACACAATAGGACCGCAAATCGTAAGCCGCAAAAAATTAATCAGTCATGATCGACTATTTTTCTCATATTCGACTGTAATTGGCTAATTTCTTACGACTTGCGACCCTATTGTAGAATAGACATAAGGGTATATCCACACTAACTTGCATAGCCGCATAAAGAAAATTATCCAATCATATTTTACGTGCGACTAAGAAAAATGCGATTAGATAATTTTCTTTATGCATGTTTATATGGCTATGCGAGTTGTATGGATATACCCTAAAGCATAACATAAGGCCGCTAAACCAATGAGCACCTTATGTAAATTCAATCAGCGATTATGTAAAATCAATATAGCGGCTTATGCTAGATACTCATTGGTCCAGAAATTTTATGTTATGCATTTCATGTGTGAAGCTCTTAAGACCTTAATCAACGTACATATGAATTCGGATGATAATCGCTGACTCAATGAATTCACATATATATGAAGTTGGCCAATCGCTGGCTCAGTGAATTTACGCATACGTGAATCCGGCCGTTAAAGTGTTAATATCATTATATGAAATATGAAGTCTAAAGAATAATCATTTTTTAGTAGCATGTTAATGCATAAGTCAATATTTTTGTTAAAAAATATAGAGTGAGATAGTAAAATAGAATGATCTACTAGATGATTTCTATTTTATGATTCTTGAAGTGGGGTTGGAATAATAAGTAGATAATAAGAAAAATAAGTAGCGATCCGAGAAAGATTTTTATGGAATCAATC